CCCCCAACTCAGATTTGAAAAAAAATCAGTGGATGGTTGTTTTCTGACAGGTCGGCAGACCGCCGACCGGTCGGTCCTACTGGTCGGCTTTAGTATAGGGTACAAAGCGAAGAGGGATAGTCAAACTTGATCACTATGTGCTATACTTTCTGCGGCCTTTAGTATAGCGTACTATGTGCAGAGGGATAGTCAAACTTGATCACTATGTGCTATCTTTTCTGCGGCCTTGAGTATAGCGTACTAAGTGTAGAGGGATAGTCAGTATAGCGTACTAAGTGTAGAGGGATAGTCAAACTTGATCACGCTGTGCTATTCTTTCTGCGGCCTTTCGTATAGCATACTAAGTGCAGAGGGATAGTCAAACTTGACCACCATGAGCCACAGCGTGCCTTGAAGCCGTCCAGCAAAGTCGCACCCCGACACTTGTACCTGCCTTACGCTGCCTAAACAACTCAAACCGCGTACAGCAGGCAATCCACTCCAATAATCTGTGTGTCACACACCAAGTACAATAGACATAGAGAGTATATACTACATACCCAAATGCGCACCATCTCCGGCGTCGATGCCTTCAACAGAATTATTATCACAGTTTTTTGAAAGTGTTCATGCTCCACCATCCACACTAAGAATCAACGACTGAGAAACGGCTAGAAGAACAGCATCCAATTAATTCCCTCTCACTCTCCTCTTCCTACCCCACCTGTTTCCACCCTCATGTATACCTCCCAAACATCACCTGCCTGCTGCCTTGGATTGCCCCCGATGGACTGCCGTCTTCACCAAAATAGAACACCCAAACATCGTAGCTGCATTTGAAGTAATTTTGTACCTGTATTTGGGACGTCTTCCAGGCTAATAACCGAGTCGTTTTATTCTGGGGCAGACGGTAGCGCTGCTCAAACTACCGACTCTGACAAGACGGTTGCACCTGCAAGGATACCCCCCCGTGCATATGTTCAGCACATGTCTTCATAATCTCGTAAGCGGACCGGCCCCGTTGTGGGAGATTTGCACTCGAAGCTTATGCGGATGGTCAAAAATGGGAGCTGCAACTAAGACGGGTCAGAAATGGGACTGGAATTGGACCACAAGGACCAAGTCTAGAGGATCGACAAAGACTGGTTGGGCCCAAGAATGTTTTCGGACCGAATTCTAAGGACACTGTACAACTGGCACACACAAGTTCAGAACGGTCAGAACGGCCGGGAAGGGTGCGGTCGAAAAAAGATACCAGGACGGCATGGCAGTGACAGGACTGGTAGGTCGAAAATTGGTGAGGGACCACAGGACCACAAGGGACGGAATGAAGAAGGATACGGTACGGGAATGGGACGAAGTTGACGCATGGGTTCATATAGTCAGATTGCCTTAGTCCACAGTCCTTCGCATCTCGAAACTCATACCCCTGGACGAGGCTGGATCTCCTGCCAGCCAAAACTGGAAGCGGATACACGAGGTTTTCATTCTCCATGAGGGGTTTGCGGATTTCGTGGAGAGGGTGAGGGTGACGCCATAGCCACGGCTATGGCAATATTACATGTCTTGGCATGTTTTGAGAAGTTGGCTTTCGAGATTTTCACACTGCGGGTCGCACGACTATCGGTTATGTCTCGTTACGAGTCTATGCTGGATGACCAAGCTGTTATGTGACACAAATACAGTCAGTGAAGCACACGCACCATCGCCACTCTAAAACGAAGGACCAGGCACTCCCAGAGTAACATTTTGATTTTATTATACTATTTATTATAGCGTGAAAATAGCAACCGTATGTCCTTACCTGAACAAGAAGCAACCGGCCGCTTCCCGAGTAGCACAGTCCAATGGCAAGCGGCTCCTTAATTCCATACGTATTTGTGATGCCCTCTCTCGTAGCAAACAGGCCAACCCCAACTATCCCGGCCATACCGCCTGCGATGTGGACAGCAGAAGCATTTACAACATCATCGATCCTCATCCACATGAGCAGTCGCGCAAAAAGCAAGTACATGGCACCCGAACAGAAACCTACAAAGGCGGCAGCCCAAGGCAAAATAAGGCTCGCAGGTGCACAACTGGCAACGGCGCCAGTGATAAGACTGTTGAGGAGATCAAAGGGGGTGCTTATGTCTGACGTCTGCACAAGAAGATACGTCGCCACTCCTGCTCCGGCTGCGCTCAGGCACGTGTTCATACATACGTGCCCGATGGTCACATACCAATGGTGTAGCCCCACGGCCGGCTGAAACATGACTGAACCGCCATTGAATGAGAAAAACCCGAGCCACAGAAACAACGTTCCTCCCGCCGTAAACACGAGAGAGTGCGACCGGAAGGGCACCACGAGCCCCTCCAGGTTGAATCTGCCAACCCGTGGCCCAACAATCCAACAGGAGATAAGGGCTGTCACCCCTCCGGTAATGTGAACCACACCCGATCCTGCATTGTCCATGAATCCATTGGTACCGAGTATGTTGGCGCCGCGCCAGGGGCTCAGCAGTCCAGACCTCGACCAAGCAAGATGTACTACAACAGGGTAGATGATTGTACTAATAACAATGCTGGAGCAGTACGGAAACCATGAAAAAACAACAACAACAGAAAACATGGCGCCTGCAGAGTAAGTCACAAGAGCAAAGCTCTTTCCGCCTGGAAATTTTGCAAGAAACTGAGGTGACCAACCTCTAGTTACTCAGTAGGCATTTTGCACTGATTGAAGAAAGGGAACAAGCCTGACAACGGACTCGAACAGAGTGGACGAGGAAAAATCTGTGTTACTGCGTGTGTGTGGGCCTGTATTGTATGCACATCACTGTAACCAACAACACAACAGCTCTTTCCACCTCAAAAATCAGCAAGAAAACATAGGCGAACACTCGTTTCTTTTCTGTTTTTTAATATTTCAAAAAACTCAGGCCCCTTCTATTCTGGGGGGCAGCAGTCCGGTTACTTATCCCCGGCAAGCATGTTTGTACAAAGACAGTGGGGGAGAAAAGAAGGGAGAAGGAGGGTCAGCCTAACCCTTGTGGCACTAGCCGCCTGAGAAAGGGGGGCTGCTTCTGTCCACCCCACCCCCAAACCCTTGCCCCTCTGCGGTGGATCGCCCTACTGGCCGGGAGGCTTCCTAGCAGCACCCCAACACACAGTGAGTGATCCCTCGGGGGAGCATAGCGCGGGCGGTGGGGGGGGCATTCACGGCAGTCCCTGAGGCCGCTTGTCCAATCGTCCGCTGTTTTCATACTGATTCAAATCTTGGCCAGTTCCTGGTTACATCAATCCTACACATGCCTATCCATAGGTAAACACTTTTTTCCTTTTTCTTTTTTTTTCTTTTTTTCTAGGCTGGTCCCCGGGCCGCCCGGCGGCCTGGTCGTCGCCCGGGGGGGGCCCGGGCCGCCTGGCCGGTTGTCACGCCCGGTTGGCCACCGGGCGGCCCCAGCGCATCAGTGTAGGTTTTTTTTTTTTTTTTTTTTCGGGCGCTGGGGGCCTTTTCGCCCTCGTGGCATACTATGCAGACCGCAAAAAAAAACAAAACGGGGCCGTCAGGCCTGATTTCACCGATTCGAAATCGGGCCCGATCTGGATCGTTGATCTCAAAGATCGACGGCCCAGATGGCCACGATTTCAAATCGGTGAGGGCGGGAACTACCGGCCCCCATTCCCTCCCCCATTTTCACGTTGTACCCCCTACCGTCTTCCCCCGAACATAGCGCACCCTAAAATGAATGTATATGAGTTATATTTCCTGCCAGATAGAGCCAAAATGAGGGTGCGTTGTGTTCGGGGGAAGACGGGTCCCCCCGTTCCCTGCCCTGCAGTTGTGTCGCTCCGCCGGACTTCGACGCGGAACTTCGACGCCGCCAGCACCTGCCGACGCCCACCACTGCGCGTGACCCCGCCGACCCCGCTGTCGCCCGCCATCGACAAGGTAAGGGACTTGT